GAATTTTTCGCGCTTTTGAAATTGTAATGTCGCCGACTTTTGAAATTGTATCCAGGATGCTTGTATATTATTAATAAAGTTTACAGACGGTTACACATAATTTGGCTATGTTCGCCGTACAAGTTGGCATTTTTCACCTTGAACTTGCGGTTTTCTTAGGTTTAATTTGTTCCCTTTATTTAAAATGTATATATGGATTTACATGTTTAGGAAAAATATTTTTGGCAGGTTGTGTTAATTAATTTTTTCTCACTTGTTCATTTTCAAACTTTTACATTAAAACGGTTCATCACGCGCAAGGCCTAAAAGCTTAAAAGCTCCCTCATTTCAAAATAAATTGCTTTTTTAGTGACAAGTCAACATTCATTTCCTGTTTACAATGAGCAGAAAACCATTGTTGTTTTTTATATTTTCCAGATATAGGGAAAAATTAAAATTTCTAACAGATTTTTTTTTATTTTGGACCTCAATCTAAGAAAGCTAGGTAAATATTTGCATTTCAGAGACGTGTCAGCTGGGCTTGTGTCGTATCATGCAATAAGATTTATTGTAATAATTCAGATATCGTGAGATGCGGTCGGGTGTGATGTAGGTTTCAGAAAAACATTTTCTTTATCGTGCCAACGTTTCGATCTTTTATTGAGATCATCTTCAGGNGCCCTGAAGATGATCTCAATAAAAGATCGAAACGTTGGCACGATAAAGAAAATGTTTTTCTGAAACCTACATCACACCCGACCGCATCTCACAATATCTGAATATCTATCGATTAACGGTCACTAATCTCTACACATTTATTGTAATGTAATCAAAATTCAGAAAATTGCTCATAACTACGGCAAAAACACAACGATAAAAAATGATCGGTCTACTCTCGCTGGTTTTGTGCTCCTCACTGAGCTGGCGTGCAGCCGAAACGCGTTTGACTAAAACGTAAACCGAGCCAGATCGGTTCAATGTTCATTGATTCGCAGACCAAATGCCACTAGCAATAAAGGTCGTGAGATTTCCTATTGAGGTTTGCGGAGTGAAGGACTGGTCGGGTCTATAATCGCTTTTTATCTGCCGGTCGTGTTTCGCCATTGTGCCATCATCAATGATCGTTCCGTAATCCGAAATGTACACTAACCACACAAAACAACACTCAGGTCAATTACTAAATACGCAGAAATTTCAAAATGTGTTTAAAATCAAAGTTCTATTCTTCCAGCACTGCTGAATATCCACTGTCATTGTCCGAGACGGAAAAAAGTAGAAAATAGAAAAAATAATAAAAGAAGGTAGATTTCAGTGGTAGATCTGAACTCAGAAATTGACACGAATGAAACAAACAAACACTTAAATTAACCATTGAATAAGGAGAAATTCGAAATCTTGTCTGACAGTAAAAATTGTCATCAGAATATAGAATATCATAAGGTTGAGAGTTATGCCTCTTCCCTCTTATATCCTTGTCATCGTAATATGTAGCTTTTTGGATCAATGATAAACTAAATATAATCATAAATCTAGTTTCGTCCTTTCAGCCAATATCATGTCAGGAGCGTTACGGATTCTTACATATTTAATTGTTTTGTCTACGAGTTACTTTGTCTTTAGTGTCCCTTTTATACGTTGGTAAAAAGTAACAGGGCATTGGGTATCCACGACTGCGAAATACCTTCCGATTAAAGAAATTTGTCGTCACTCCCTCGCTTATATCCTTAACAACTTGTTATGTATTTTTAGGGTCAATGGATGAATTAAAAAATATCATCAGTGTGTTTCGGCTCTTCACCATCTTCATTTCTATAAAGACAGTAGACACTATAAACATCACTGGTTTATCTGTGTTCCGAAATGAACTCAAATAACAAAAAAACCACTCGAAATCAGATTAACCATCGAGTAAGAAAAAATTCCTGTCATTGATGCATTGACGCCTAACACTGAATAATCTAAAATTAAAAGAGTCTGTTATCACCCTTTTTATATTCTTGTGAGCTTTAGGGTCAATATATAAACTAAACATAATTACATAAAACGTTACTGAAAATAAAAGTAATTTAGTTTTCTCGACTATATCATCAACAGGCGCGTTTCGGTTTGTCACCATCTTCATTGGTTTGGTTGTGTTATTTTGTCTTTTATAAATTGGTAAAAGTAAAAGTGAAAAGGTAAAATGGATCAACTAATCCCGCCTGACAGGTAAAGCTAGCAAAATAGATAGGCCAGAATTTTCGGAAACTACCAAACTAAATTAGAGATCAAACATGAAAGAAAAAAGCATCATACAGCAAAAAAGGAAAATCTTAATCACAAAATTAAAATCTGGGAATTATTTCTATTTTATTGAGTTCTTCCCAGCCAAGATATAGGTTATCCACACTGCCCATCCAAAAACCTACCACCTGGTTTTTGCAGGAAAAAATGGCCAACTTTGGAAATTCACATTTTCTCGGCCTTTTAAGTCACAGATCATCGATAGGTCAATTTTTTTAGAAAGTTTAACGTTGAACTAGATGGCTTTTTAAGATGGCCCTAACTTCAGCCATTCATCAATAAATTCAAAAATTCGGGAACATGTTAATTTTTGCATTTTTTTGCGTAAACATCAAATTGAACTGTGGAGCCAGGAAATCGTCCTGGAGAGGCGCCCTTTAGCAATCGATAGGAAATTTTAATAAGCTTTCAATTGGTTCCACCTTGCCTAACTATTTTCGAGTTATTCGAGATTTTCCGAGGACTCTTTCAAAAAACTGAACAGGGAAGCGATAATTCTTACTTTTTCTTACTTTGACCTTTTGGGATGCGGAATGATTCTGCTGTCGATAACCACTTGTTTACCTCAACACTGAAATTCAACTTTTCTTTCTCATTTCACAGGTTTTGTGGCAGTTTGGCTTCGAATAACGTATTGAACCAATAGGTTTTATGTATTGGAAAATCGGGAGAGAGTGATGAGCACGTACAAAACCAAGGTTTTACCCAAAAATCGCGAATAAATCGAAAACGGTTGAGAAATCGGGCAAAGTGGAAGGTGACAATTGAAAGCTTATTAAAATTTCCTATCGGTTTGTAAAGGGCGTCTCTCCAAGACGATTTCCTGGTTCCATAGCTCAATTTGAAGTTTTCGTAGAAAGCCCAAAAATTAACAACTTCCCGATTTTTTAAATTACTTATCAATGACTGAAGCTAGGAAAGCATGAGCAATCATGTTCAGCATACAATTTTCTAAAAAATGGGACCTAGCGATGGTCGGTGATTTAAAATGCTGAGAAAACGAAAGAAAAAGTGATCTAGTCTAGTAGCTTGCAGTACCATTTTAATAAATAAAAAAATAAATAAATTTAGAAATTGCTTTAGTACAGCAGTTTCAAGTTTCAATTAAGTTTTAATAACGGCCAAAATTAAAACAAAGGGTGTAAAAGTTGGACAGTTTTTATAATTCGCCTCGAAGAAATAAAAATACGGGAAACTCTACCCCTGCCGGCTGTAGAATTCAATACCCTTTCGCAGTTTTACGGTAATTATCGCAGACCTAAGATTCCCTTTACTAATTGAAATGCAACCAATCTCCTTGAACGGGTTTTCCAAGGATTTGACGCAGACTACATTGATTCGAGCCCGGAGGAAATTGATGTCCGTTGCGAGACCTCTGCAATCCCAATGAGCTCCGACCAAAACATGATCGATCTTAATTGTCCAGACTCATTTAACCAAACCCATTCATACACAAAAATAATAACATTTCTAATATTAACGAGAGGGGGGAATCCCAGTCCCTGAAGATGATCTCAATAAAGATCGAAACGTTGGCGCGATAAAGAAAATGTTTTTCTGAAACCTACATCACACCAGACCGCATCTCACGATTTCTAAATAAATATCGATTAACGGTCACTAATCACCATACATTTATACTGAAACAATTTTTTTCTATTTTGCCTATCTAAAGACGTAATTGGTTTAATTATATTTTTTAAGAATAGATATCTTTTATGAGTTCCCATGCATCAACTAAATAAGTATGAATAAATCTATGTTTATATTACATGTCACTTGTTATCGACAAAAAGTTTCCTCATAAATACAAATTGTTTATGTAAATTTACTTTAAAACACTGTGTAATAAAAACCCTCATTTTAAAAATATATATTTTAAACAGAATGGTTCTCTTTTCATATTGATTGTTTTATATTATTTATTGATTAATCTATATTTAACTTTTTACTATTTTCTTTCTTTAAACGGTTAACATTTGAAAAAAACATATTTCTTAGTCTTTCTCGATTTTCACACCTTTAGAAACAGCATAATTTTTTGAGACATCACTCATTAGAAACAGTTTATGTAGTTTTTAAAATGTTTCTTTATGTAATAACCATGAAATTTTTCTTATAAATTTTATTCCTTAGTTCGAACTATTCAAGAGTACATATACTTTTTTTTGTTTTTCTCCCATTTCTAATATAACATTAGTATATAATACTACATATATTATTTTGTTGTTGGTCATAGAGTTATAAAGATCAGATGTTTTTGGTTTATTTTATGGTTTAAATTTTCATTTTACCATATTGTGGCCACAATTGACGTCTCATTTTTTTAGGTTCCATGGGATAAAAAATAATAAACATATATTTCGAAGGATGTAATGTTTTGATTTTAATTAATCACAGTTCGCCACGTATTAATATTAAGAGACAATATTGCCAAATTTAATGAAATCTACATCTTGAATCGTAAAAGAATATATGTTATAATATATTTCTTTAAAATAAAAAAAGAGGGTTGTAATCCTATTTTCCGCTCGACGATGTACGTAATCGTCAAATCGTTAAATCCGGATGGAAAAGGGGTAAGACCGAAATTCGCGATCTGTCCTAGGCCCCAGAGGGCCGAACCTTAATTTTCACGCATAGATAAAGGAAAAAGAGCCCATATCGGAGATATGGATGTTGGGGATGTTCTGAGGGTGAGAAAAATGAGTGAGTGGCCTGTTGCTTGGGTTACTCACCTAGGAATCCAAAGGGGTTGCGGGGTTGACTCGAGCCGGGCAACTGCACGTTGGACGGAGTTGGCAAGAGCGGCAATTTCCGCAAGCAACCCCCGATCATCCCCCATTTCCCACCCTCAACGGATAGCGCCACCGATCCTCCCTGCCAATCAATATTTCTGCTTGGGTTCCATGCTCAAAAGATAGCAACCTCTGCGTTGGTACAATTTACAATTTGTGTTTGCTTTCAATAAATACTGTAATGAATGAATTAAGTTCTACTTGTAATTATAAACTTACAATTCGCCTATTGGTTTGATACCTAGGCAAGCGTCTGACTTGGAACCCACTAATGAAACTTTACAAGTTTAACTTTTTCAAGGACACGTTACAAAAAATGATACTTAATAATAACCTCTGATATAAAAAGCCTCCATTATAATTTCCAATTAATGACAGATGTATATGTTCAGCAAAGATCCTGAAGTGAACACTGACGACGATAGTGACTGAATGGTTCCTGCCAAAACAGTACAAAAAAAAAGATAGTTCTCATTGCCCAGAAAATGTCTTGATTATACCAATTATTTTCTTACATTCTTAATTTGTGGTGAAAAAATTAGTCTGGGGTTTTTATACAACTTTAAAACCGTGATCTAAATATTGATTTCTAATAGTTTTAATTATAACAGGAATTTGTAGATTATAAAAAATATTGTATTGGACGGGGGTAGATGTTCAGAGTTGAGCCTATCACCTGTCACAGTCCACTGACATTTCAGCTTTGCTACTTTACAATGAATGGCCTTGAGAATCACCTACCTTGGGTTTTGGTAGTCCGGGGTCAGACCTGAGTCTTATCCGTCCAGCTACTGAGTTTGTGCTCCAGGGGTTGTCAACAACTAGGTCCCCAATACACAATCAGTTTCGAAATCCAATCCATTCACACTCTCACTCACTCTCAAAAATATTTTATCTTATTTATTTCCCTCAATCAGGGTGGTGCAGTACTCGATATTCCTCTGTCACATTTTACAGTGATTACCTAATTGAGGTTATTCAATATTCCACCACCAGCCTCTTAAACTGCACATTCCCGCCAATAAATACATTCACTCTCAACACACCCAAAAGAGACAACACTATCAATATTATATACAATAAAACAACCGAGTTTCCTCCAAGGAATAGGGGAAATTATTGCTACCGTACTCAAGCAAAATTCTCATAACAGGAGGCAATCCTATGTGCTGTAACTAACTAAAGTTTATAAGCGGAACTCAGCCTTAATCCAGCTATTTGCACTTTACTGCACATGTACAAACACTGTCCTCTCTGTAAACAACAGACAAGCTCGTGTAACTTATAACCAATCAGAGCATGAAAGCGAACACTCCTTGCGCTTGGTATAATTTCTTTTTCATTGTGCCTCCTGAATCAGGGATGGTGATAAAATGATGATAAATTTTTGTTTGTAACAGCACGTTGGAATACCTATTGTGATGAGAATCGTGCTTGAACACAGCAGCAAGTATTTCCCCTGTTCCAGTTCTTGGAGGAAACTCGGTCATTTTATTGTATGTAATACTGACAGTTTTTTCTCCCTTGGGTGTCTTGAGAGTAAGTGTATTTATTGAAGCGAATGTGTAGTTTGAGAGTGCTGATGGTGGAATATTGAATAACCTCAATTAGGTTAGTTATATAATAGGTGTAAAGGGTGACAGAGGAATATTGGGCGCTACACCTCCCTAACTGGGTAAAATAAATAAGATGAATGTTTTTAAGAGTGAGTGACAGTGAGAATGGACTTGGATTTAGGAACTGATTGTGTATTGGGGGACCTAGAAGTTTAAAGTCCTAGAGCCCAAACTCAACAGCTGGGTGAATAAGACCAACATCTGACCGCGGGCAGCCAATACTCCGAGGTGGGTGATTGTAAATTACACAAAATAATAGTGTTAATATTTTTCATTTTAGGATGGTATGACGTCAAGGTCAAAAATATGCATAACAATCTGCACCCTCTGGGTAAAACTGGATAAGTTGTATTTTGGCAAAATGAGGTCCATACTCTAGTAAATCTTTTGGCTGAGAAGAAAACCATTTCCTTTAAACACAATATGCCTTTTAGTCATCCAAATAAGTTAACGTTTTTATAATTCTACTTACTTGTAACCTCATAAACTTATTTACTAGTACATCATAAAAAAAAAATAAATAATAAAATAAAAAATTTACTATTATACAATTTTGCTCTACGAATTCCAGTGTTAAAATTTATTCCCCATTTGTGCATTTTAATGAAATATGTGTAGAAAAAATTTTTATTAAATGTTTTTTCATTATTACAGAGTAAAGGGAAATAGAAAATTAAATTTGATTATGCAATAGTTTTATTATTTAGATTTATGATGTAAAAATCAACAATTCAACTTGTTTAAACTTCATTTATATAAACAAATCGAGTATTAAGTCATATAAAAACTTTTTCCTTCAACTGCAAAAAATTACAACAAAGCATTTGAAAGAATGACTACTTAATAAAAATCATAATCGACAAATTTATTGCTGCAACAATAAAAGAGTAATAGCATTGCAACACCGATTATGTATTATTTTTATTTGTTTACAAGCAAAAGCTTCTTTTATTTTTATTAGTACTAGTTACAATTTTTTTTTTATTTTAATAGAATTTATGGTATGAAATAGTATTTGCATAGTAAGGCAGAATAAAAATGAATCATAATATATACACCAATTGTCTTGTGTTAATTTTAATTATTTTAACTGGATCTAGAAATGTTATTTTTTTTAATACTACTGCTAAGATAATTTTAAAACTTAGAAAATATTGTATTTCAATCAACTATATCGGAAATAAATATAAACAAGAACTATTTTTTTCTGGAAATTCTTAGTCATATGGTAAAAATTACTTGATGCTCAGATAGATTGAAAAATACACGACAATAAATAATACAAATGCCAAGGGGAAAACTGATCTTGAAAGTTTGTCTACAGAGTTGACATCAGATACTTTTTCCAACCATTTCTGCAAAGGTATTCTCGATTTAGAGTTGTCAGATCTTGATTTATCTTTGGTTTCCAGCGCATTCTAAAAGCATCATAATTTTCAGTTATAAGCTAATTAGTGTTTCTAATTATATAAAATAATAACAACTTACATCATCATCCGAACTGCTTTTATTGGTGGTTTGAGAATGTTTTGAATATGTATAGCTAACATAAAAAAATTCCATAAACGCGATAAAAACAAATATTAAACATGTTCCAGACCATACGTCTATTGCTCTTATGTACGAAACTTTAGGAAGGCCAACATTGAAAGATGTTATCAGATTTATAGTGATGAAGAACGTCGACATCCCTATTATAGTCCTTGCTACTACTTGGTTTGGCCCGAACCAAAAACTAGTCCAAGAGGTAAAAACAAGCATGGAAGTAGGAATGTACAAATGAAAGAAAAAGTAATTAATTCTTCTCAATAGGAAAAACCCTACTTCCAGGACAATGAATGTTCCTAAAAAAAAATTTAATATTAAAACTATTTAATATATAATTTTAATTTAACGCACCTGTGCTCAAGCTAACTTCTTCTGTACTTGGTATCACTTTGTATAAATCAAATTCTTGCACTCGGAGCTTTGGGTTTAACTGTATAGCCTGGGTTTCATCAAACTTCAACAACAAATCTTTTTTACTCCATCCATCTGAAATAAACGTTATAAAATAACACATACAATTCACAAGTTTGAGATTTAGTACTCACAACTTTCAATTCTTAGAGGACATTTTTGATGGTCAAATGGATAGAGTTGAAACTTCATCGGGCAAGAGAGAATCAGCGTCAGCCTACGACCGTTAGCTATTACTCATAAATAATTAACCACTCAAAATAAATAAAAATCCCACTCACTTTACACTGTAAAGGACAGAACCATTAGCTTGTATTCTCGCAAACTGGTTTGTTTTCATCGTCTGATGGTGATTGCCATCAATTTCATTGACAAAAAACAAATCGGGAGTCCACATTACATTGACATCATTTATCGAAATATGTGAAATATTCTCTAAAAAATTCTTTTTATAAAATGAGAACTCATTTTTTTAAAACTGAAGTCTAACCTGATAAATGTTTAAATTGTAGTCTTTCATCGACCCATTTTTGTCGCAAATATAATTGTATTGTATATTGCTGAAAAACACCAATAATGATTTACAATATATACACTTTATTCTTTTTGTTTTTTACAAAAAAAATAAAATTTTGATACAAATTCATATACTTTTTACTTGATTTTATGGAAAAGATAAAAACTAGCCTGCGAGATATAGTTCTACCCACCATTTCATAGTCGTCTATTGAACTAATGTCCAATATAAACATATTTGTCGTGATTGTAACATAATCTAAAAAAAATTATTTGCTTATTAAGCTTTGTAAAATTCTAGTCAGTGTAAAAATCAGTCAAAAATAGTGTGCACACATCTATTAAAAATTAATAGTCCATACCATTTCCATTTGTTCCTGGAGGACGGATCGTACTTGTGTACTTGGATTTGAAAATCTCTTTATGAATTTTTTCAATTTCTGCTTCTCTTGAAGCATAAATACTGGGTATGTACCTTTAAAAAGCAAAATCATATAGATATTTATTTTTTTTATATATACATGTATATTTATTTATTGTTTCATTTCCCTTAAAATCAGAACTGGGGACCTAACAACCAACTTTCATGCCCAAGGACTGTCTTTATATCGAATACCATGCCTACTCGCTCCCTATAAAGGGCCTGGGCCAAGTTGGACACTTTTCTCTACCTGCGCAGGGTTCACCACAAAAGTACCGAGTGACCGAATTTCTCTGGCTTAATAATGCTTTTAGAAGTATGGACTTGTATTTTTAAAAAATAAGTGAAAAGAAATAAAAGAAAGGAAAATTTCATGCCATTCCACATAATTATTACATATTCAAAAAATCATTTACTTAAAACTTTCCAGGGATTTGAATTTACTGTATAAATAGTTAAGTCAAATAAATTGGTTATAATTTTTTTTATATTTTAGTTAGGTAAACAAAGAATTGTACAAAATTGCAATGGCATTCGATAAATTGTACCATAAACGCTCAAAATACCAAAAATTCCTATTAACGTAGTCTTATCTGTGAATATATTATTTTATATGTTAAGCTAAGGATTGCGACTTGCATAATTATCTAAAAATAAAATTGTCAAGAAAAAAAACTTTGTACCAGTTAATCACACTTACCAACATAGAGCTAGCAAGAAGCTAAGTGATCTTACGACGTTTGAGATTTCCATTATTCTGCGAACAGTTATAATAACTCAAAATGTTTCTATTTATTCATTTCATACCACTGCCTTTGTTCACAAAAATAAATTTCACTGCTGAATACAAAATTTATTCAATATAAACCAAACTTTAGCTATTGTTTATTGATAATAATCATATTTTTTAAATCTAAACTTTACTCACAAACAATATAAGAGTAAAAATCAAACAAACTGCGTATTTATTTGCAATTTTACTGCGATTCTGTCGGTTGTTTTGAGAATCTGAAGAATCGTTTTATAGATATGAATCCTAGCTGGAGACCTATAAAAGACTAGATTTGGACTCCCTTTATAAGGCGAGTTCGCCTTCACAAAAGCTTTATTAAACAGATTACTATCAATTGAGACTACAATGGTACAAAATAAAATAATTACGAATAACCTTTTTGATTTTTTATTATTTGTGTGTACTCTTTTCTCTTCTAGATCTACACCAGTCTTGATTTCTTTCATCTTTAGCTGTAAAAAAAAAAAAAAAAACACTGACTTTAAAATATAATTCAAGTTATTTACTTAAAAACGTATACTAACAATTACAGGTAATACCAAAATACATTATAGATCATTTTGAAATAATAGAGGATTGATAAAAGCAAGTTTAAATGCAAAACGGTTTTATTATTACTGTTATTATCAAAATTTTAAGCAGTGAACAATTTTTTATAAAAATTACCATTATATAATAAATGTGTGTGTGTGTCTGTAACTGTTTCTTTAGAATTGCTAATTGTAGAATTTAATTCATGTAAGGGTGGTGAATATAATAATTTATTTGCATCCTCGGGGCAAAACTGTATAAGCAAAAAAAAATTACTTTTCTATATTGTGATCTTAAATTTTTAGATCTTAAAACAAAGTACAGGGATTTTATCAACATCAACTTGCAGAAATCTGATTTCAAACATTCCTTGAATAATAAATCGATAAGATTGAGGCATTTGGTTCAATAATGTTCAGTAGTTTGTTCTATTATTATTTGAGTATTATTTCCAGAAACAAATAATGTTCCACGGTTTTCTACAGAGTACGGTTGTAAAAAAAAATTCAGACTCAACACGCTTAAGAACAAATCATGCTATTTGTAGGCCTTAGGCATCACCTAATTCCGCATATGATATGCCAGAAAACATAAAACATAAGACAAATGTATTACATAAGAAAGGGTGAATGTTTCTAAATGATAAAAAATGTAAAGTCTAAAAGGTGGTTCCTCTGTGCTTCTTCTCGGCAGGTTTCTCCAGTAAGCACTAATGGGTTGAGCAGGTCATGACTCCAGCAACACATTGCACTAGTAATATAGTAAGTAGGTTAAAAAAATTACCTTTGATAAAAATTCAATTTTTGTTTTAACTTAATGGTTTCATTCTTAAGTTAAACAATAATGTACTGTCTGTCTGGCCAGACATACTGTTAAGTGCATTTATCTCAGTTTCCCAAAATTGGACTTACCCATTTTTTTCCCCAGAGGTCAGATATTGTTGCTCTTGAACAAACAGAAGTAAAGCATTTTGTGTCCAGAACGTATCAAAAAGTTGTTATTATGGGAAACTTTTTACATGAAAAGGATTAAAATACAAGTCCGGGTAGTTTCTACAAACTTTATTTTAAATTCATATTTTAATGTTTTCATCACACTAATGTTGTTTTAGATTTTTTATACAATCTTAAGCACAATATTTTCCAAAACATCAGTTTCGAGGGTTGTAATTAGATCCATAAGGCTTAAAGAGCAGTTTTGAAATATTTCATCGCACTTTCTGTCATCTGCTGCTTCTCTTCCTACCATTTCTGCTTTTTCGTATTCGCTCAATTCACCATCTCGTCTACGATTGTCATTTGATGTAGTGGAAGGTCTGAAATTTATATGATTAAATGAAAATTGAGAATAATTTCATTAACGATCAGTATCTTACACAAATAGTATCTGGAGGATTTCGCCAAACAAGCCATTGTATTCGAAAGCTGTGAAAGCAGCCTGGCAAATGCTTTTCAGCAAACAGTTTTGCCCATCGAAGGAGAGCCTTATAAAAAATCAAATTCCTTAACAACAATTGTTATATTAAATTGTGAGCTTTATCCAGGTGGTTTGTGGCATGATGATCGTGTAGTTTGGTCATAAGTCATGGTAATGAATCAAACCGTCAAGGTTAAGAAGACCAAAATGATTGGTAAATCATTTTGATCTTCTTAACCTTGACGGTTTGGTTTGTCAGGTGAATATCAAAATTTTCCCATCTTGTGGTGCACAGCAAATGGCAGTAATGAATGGCTTCAAAAGTTGATCAGAAGTGGTATCAGAAATGGGTTACGATGTAGAAGAAATTGCTGAAGATCAAAAGCGTGCAATTTTAGAGTAGGTGGTTTGTGTATTTTTTCACGTGTATGTCCTTTATGTACCTTTCACCACTGAGTATGTCAAAATGCCGGCAGACTGAGAGATTCTAGTTAGACTAGGATGATCAGCCACAATCAAACTACAAACTACTAACTACGTTATTTCAAATGCAAACCAAACCAATGAAATTATGCAGCACAAATGATCGTCATTCTTACAAATGGGCTTTTTTCAAAAACACCAGCACCTCAAGGGTTCATAAAAAAGCTGCATAGTTATGTGCATCTTTAATGATTAAATCAACAGTAATGAAACAATGTAACTTCTTGTGTCATTTGCATATTCAGGATAGTTTCCAATAATGAACTCTTGCATTGTTTATTTAACATGTCATTTTTTTAAACAATTATCTGTTATAAAGTGTTTGTGTTAAAAAAGTATTATAAAGTATTAATGGGTGATCTGAAGCATAAACAAGTTGATAATTCATTCACTGTGTTTTTAAATCAATGATATATTGTCAAAAAAACAAGGTTAACAATTCAACTAACTTATTATTACAAAAGATAAAGATGATAATTCAGAATTTCTCTCCATCCAGGAGTAAAGTAGATGAACACAATTATATTTTTAACAAAATAATAGTAAAATCTTTAAAAATCACTGATTATCATGATGCAATCCTTAAATGAATCTCATTGGAAAAGGAAAATAAGAACAAGTTTGATCATGACTAGAAAATCTGCTGACAAATACTACATGTATTTAATTAAATAATAATCAAACTCCTATAATTCGATTTCTAGCAAGCTAGGTGCCTGAAAGTTGAATAAATAAATTTCGACCATGCATTATATGGCATAAACTTTAACAAATCTGTAACGGTTCTTATTGGTCATGCAGAAGAAATCGATATTCTTGATTTAAATACTGTTAAAAACCTTACCTATCTAATGCATTTCTCACAATGTCATAAAATGTCCATCTTGTCAATTGTTTGTCGCCAGAGATTCCAAAGGCCTCTTCAGGGCGGGTGAAATGCGCAGAATTCGTTGGCAGTTCGTAATTTGTCTTCATAATCAAGCCAAATGTGACATCGTCATCTTTGAGGTCTACCGGTATACCAAAACCTGTAATAATCTGAGAAAAATTTATANAAGATTTAAAACAATTAATTAAATAAAAATTTTAAAAAAATACTATTTACTTGCAGCTTATTGCCTGAACCCATAGGAAAAGGAAGATACCTTTTGTCCCTATGGATCCACAGTTTGTCAGCATTTGAGTCAAATAAATTAAACACAACTGTCAACCACATTATCTGGAAAATATTGATAATACATTAAAGACAGAAAAATTCATTGTTTTGGTTAAAATAAGGATTGCAATATTAATAATTATAGAAACCTTCAAACAAAACTGTTTGGAATAGAATCTTTTAAGCACATATAATAAACTAATAACTATTACTTACAATATAAACATAAAGTGACTTATTTAAAATCATTTTGATAGCTACAGCCTCCTGTCTTTCTTTTTTCCAACTAAACAACTTCTCGGGGCAATGCCTTTTTTCATACAGGTGATAACTTACTCTAATTTTCTTCAGTGTAAAGCCATGTCTCCCTTCGTAGTTATCTTGTAATATCTGGCTTTTTTTATGTTATTTTAATTTTTTCACTGAATTTCACAATATTGTTCATTGCAGAATATTTAGTGTATCTTTATGCGCTGGAAGGACTTTGGACGAACAACTTGCGTTATTAACAAGAGATAAACGTTATATTACTTATACGTACAACAGTGCTATTGGTGTGAGTAAATCAATTTTAATTCTTTACAAATTTGCTTTTTTAAATCAAGTGGCTTTAAATACTTTATAAAGATTTTCTTGTTTAAAAGTGTTTCTTTTTTTTTAATCAATAAATACAACAATAAAATTTAATTGCATATACTTGTAAATAATAATAATGCTTTATTAATATTGATAAAAGAACAAACGAGTACAAAAATATATACAAGCATTGGGAATGTAGCAGGGATAACGGTCTGCCGAAAATTGCCCAAAAGTAACATTTAGAAATAAATAAATAAATATTCAGAAATCGTGAGATGGGGTCTGGTGTGATGTAGGTTTCAGAAAAACATTTTCTTTGTAGTGCCAACGTTTCGATCTTTATTGAGATCATCTTCAGGGCTCAAAGTGTTTGTCTTCTGTAAGTAATTGTGCCATTCCTGCGTGTCGTGTTGAGAGTGCCCAAAATAAATAAATAAATTTAAAAGAAACAAACAAAACATAACTACAAAACGTAAGCATATCACAAGAAGCATGAACATAACCTTATCACAAGAAGAATGGCGAAATATAAAAATCAATGTACACTGTATTACAAATTATAAACAAATCGAAACAAGAAACTTAACTTTTTTGCAAGTACAAAAATTAAATTAATATTGAACTCGTACATATAAAACCAAGCTGCACAGTTAAAACACGCAAGAGTTTCACTTTTATCATTTATTAAATCAAGTAAGGAGAGCAGTCGGCCCTCGAGAGCGATCGCTGCTCCAAATAAAAAAGACTTAGTTCTGACAGGATGGAACACTCAGCGACAAAATGAAAGGTGTCCTGCTTTTTCTCAGAATTACATAAAAGACAGCGCTGCCTTCCAACTTCCCTCCAGGGCACACCGTTTAAGCAGAGTTGTTCACATCTCACATTTAGGAGGTCAGAGAATTTAAGGGAATGAACCTTAACATTACCGGTCACCAGGTTGGGGATATAGAGGAAAAAACGATCCCATGACCTGGCTTTTCGTAGGCACATTTCCCTAATGTTATCGCGTTGCCCTCTCAAGAATTGCCGAAACAGTTCAGGTCAGTGGTCCACGTTGTCCCGTGCTTTAAAATAATTAATTTGCGAATGGGGCAGCCAAAATAAATTGAATTGGATTATCAAATGTGCTGTATTTTTTAAAAACGAGAATCGGGTAAACTGAAAATTTTGAGGAAATACCGAAAGTGTAGGTTCAGTGAGTAAATAAAAATGAGGTCTGTTGATGTTTCGATGTAAAGCATGTAATTGGGAGTTGTATCAAGGAAAACGAACACTTTTTCATTAAAAACACGGTAAACTTTTTCAATTTCTTCATATTGTTGGAACCCCGAACTTGACAAAATTGAACGGCACATAGCGCTAAGTTTGGCTTAGCCGGGTAAGTAACTGAACTGTGACCAATGAAATTTCTCCAGATTCGGTGCGACAAAATTTTGCCTGAAGAGGCATTTTGACTCACAAGGGGATGACCAGGTTGGTTGTCACGAGTTTGGAACAAACATTTTTTTGGCGATTTTACACTCCAATTTTTTTTTTTTTAATTCTATTTACTCAAATCAACTATGTCACTTATTTTACATTTATAGCATTTTTTTATTTATTGATTTATTTTACATCATTTTTCATGTAGATTGCAATAAAAATATAGTAAAAGCTATTTTATAGTTAGTTTACCAATAAACAAAAAACTTCTAAAAACCAAATTTTTTCAAGTAAACTAAAGATCATATTTTTTTATGAAACTAATATGAAATTTCGTTTTAGCACCTCTAGAGACCCCTAAATATTAATTTTTGTTTGAATTTAAACTTCGACGAGGTCGATTTTTTGACCTCTAAAATTTTCCGATTTTTAATAAGACGGAATATCTGATTGAAACGGCTATAATTCAAAAACGACTAAAAGGATTTTGAAGTCAAACGTACCACTTGAAAGAAGAGAAGTGTAGCTTTTTAGCTACTGTACCATAAAAATATATAAACGATTTCTATAAGAAAATACATAAAATAAGAAAATATTTTTACAAAAATTAACCTCGCTTTTTGAATGGAAATAATAGGCCTATTTTAAAGTTTCGTACAGTTATAAAATGCACTTTACAATTTCTTTAAAACAAATTTTAACCTTGAAAATCGGTCGCCTAGATATTGAGAATACACTAGGAATGTCAGTCATGCAAAAGGTCGTCGAAATTATCAGTCAAAAAATTAATTTACTACGATTTCCGCGAAAGTCGGCATTTAAGGGTTTTATAACGCTAGAATCACGACATAGGTCAAATCCAAGTTTTTACCATTTTCAGACTTACTTTGCATAGATAATGTCTATTAAAATATGCAAAAAAAGCGCACACAATGGCTTTCAAAAATTCAAAGACTGAGGGGAAGTCATCTAAAAATATAGAGAATGAAAGTGGAGTTAGAATGCAGCCTTGTCTTACCCCACTGCCAATTTTTAAAAACTCGGAATTTTTTCCTTACCTCCTACTCCCGCCGAATTCCAGGAAAATCCTAGATTGTAAAGTTTTAGAATGAGCGCACTTCTGTCAACTTTTTCGGCCGCCTTAAAATTCACGAAAAACTATACAACTTTTTCCCTCGGTGGGGGTTTTTCATATGGGAACCTTGCTTTGTACGAATACGAAAATATCGCCGGTCGTGGAAAAAACCTCCGCGAAACCCTGTAAAATTAAATTATCAATTATTATTCGGAGATCGTGAGATGCGGTCTGGTGTGACGTAGATTTTAGAAAAACATTTTCTTTATCGTGCCAACGTTTCGATCTTTATATCGATCATCTTCAGGGCTCAAAGTGTTTGTTTTCTGCGTAATTGTGCCATTTTTGTGTGTCGTGTTGAGAGTGTCCTAAATTATTAATTGTGGCAAAAGATTCTTCATGCTTCAATAAAATCCCAGAAAAAAGTTTTGAAATTGAGTATAAGCGCAAAATATCTCTGTAGTGTCTACCAATAAGAATCACCCCTTTTTTTCAAAGTCGAAAGAGGAGAGCTTTTCCAAAGGAAGTTGGAACGTCTTCTTTGTCGTAAATGAGTTAAAAAGGTCACGAACGAGGAAGCTTGTTTTTGTCAAATCCACTTATTTGTCAAACGGAACTAAATCAGGACCAGGTGCTTGATAATTTTTTACGCAACTCAAAACAGCCTTTAACTCGATGAAGGCAATCATCAGGTGGTGGAGAATTGGGTTTTCGATTAATGTCTCCACATAGTATATCCCTGATGACCTAGACAGATTTAATAAATTAGAAAAATGGGTTACAAAATTGTCCAGGGGTACATTTGGACCTCCAATATGTTTGTTCCTAAGTCCGAAAATTTTACTTTGTATCACAATTCCTCTGAGTCACGGGCTGAAATTATTCGTTTTGCTACCCATGAGAAAAAAGTCAGAAAGTAGTTTAAAGCGGATTTTGGTTTCTAAATATTTCGTCCTTACATTTGAGTTGGTTCTTCTAAAGAGGTTTAACAGAGAAAATACTTCAAGACTCAAAATTAAACAGTCATAAACAAACTAGGGATTTTTTTAAGCGGAAAGCGAGGGAAAGGAAGATTTAAAGGATAAGCAGACTTGATGAAAAAGCAACCAATCGATCCAGATATTTTTGGGTAAACAGTTTAGGTTATTTGACAATTGATCCTTTGTGGCAATTTGGAAAAAAATGGGAAGTTGATCAGAAAAGAAAAGAGGATGGACCTTAAAGTATAAAACCACGCGCAGTGTCAATATCGTAATCAATGAAGTCCTACTGAGATGTACTGCTAGTTGAAACTATACTTATAAATTGAATTTATCATTTTTAGATGTTCCTTGCGTTTGCCATCCCTGTCGTTTCTGAATTTGAGGAGATTCCAGACAGGGATGTCCTTTTTTCATACAACTTCGAGGCCAATTACAATCTACCGACTAACATCTCCTACTACGATTTGACGCCTCCAGAAAGGAGCTTTTTCAATTTTAACCGAAGCACCGTGTACGGACTTTTTGAGAGGCGTTTGAACAAGTGTGTCTAGAAAATCTTACAAATAAAACAAAAATAAGACCAGTGTTGAATTTTGTAACTTTGATTTTACAGTTTGAACGTCAACGGGAGACAATGCCTTCTGCGACTCATATGTGATATGGCACGAACTCCTATCTCTCACAATGGCCTCATAGGAAGACTCCTACACATATTATTTATGTATGAAAATTATCTATAAACATTATCCCTTTCCTAATTGTAATTCATTTGTGTGTTTTTAACAGGCCGTCAACCTCGGAGAGTGAATACTTAGTTGAAGAAGAACAAGCTGAACAAGACGGTATAAATGACTTCGACTGTTCGCTTAAATATTTTAAATGTCCTCATAGCATTATCGATACAATATCTTATCTAGCTTAGCTTTTTTATTGATTTAATCTGTAGTAAATAAATAATTTTATTTTTTACGAAGGTATTAGGGGTCCTTTACCTTACAGTGATTACCTGTCAACGCCTAAATCGTTGCGGCCAACGACGCCCCCTAAATATTATTGTTATTTCTTGCTCAAAATGGCCTCTTTTTTTAAACATGCAAATCCGTTTCCCTTCCTTGTTATAATTTGCCAACAATAATTTAACGGATGTCCTCAAAATTGTTTAGGCTAATTCCCGTTTCTATCAGATTAAACTAAAGACAGTCGCTTAACAGGATTATATATGCAGCGCAGGGGGTGAGTCACTTGAAGGCAGAGAGTCTACTGACATATTTTATTAATGAGGGGACATTAAAATTCAAAGAGCTCCTGCATCTTTCAATTTGCATTGATTATTTCTTTAAGAACCACAACATCATTCGGCCAAACTAGAATAAGGGGAAAATATGGTAAAAAACGTGTAAATTGTTTGTGTAAGATGGTTTACAACTTTGTAGCACTTTGAAGAAGAAATGAAATGATGTTATACTTATTTAGCTTGTTCGCCAAGTCGATCGGTAAATTAACAGAAGAAAGTGAAATGAATAAACTAAAAAACCGTTAAAAATGGCAAAATTAGACGCATTTAAATGCAATGAATAAACATTATATATTTAAAATAATTCATCGAGAATCTATGGTTACCAGTATGGTTCAAAAGCTCCTAAGCTCTTACAGATTCACTTTAATATAATAAGATTAGAGAAATTCTAGAAAACTGTTTTTATTTATTGCAATCACTTTACAATCTGATCTAAAGTAAATCTAAAAATGCTTCTGACCTCTTCCATCAAAAATTTTGTTCAAAACTGTAGAAGAATCCGCTTATTTCTAAAAACTCTCTCTTCCTAACAAGTCACCCTATGTTTCTCCCATTGCTTTTCGCTGAATATAATTCTCAGTACTTTTGTATTGAAGGATGAACAACAAGGTTTCGGTGTTTCGAAACAGTCGTTTATATGGTTGATTATATGAAGTTGATGGGAATAGCGTAAGGGAAATAAAGGAAAGATCCGAAGAAGCTATAAAGATAGTCCATAATTGGTGCCAACAACAAAAGCTTCAAATATCAGAGGAAAAAACCAAAGTTCAATTCTTAAAAGGAAAAGTAGCACCCTCGAATAACCCAAAAATTAGCCTCAACGGGAAGACATTAAAAAAGGAAAAAAACGTAACATACTTAGGAGTAGTGATCAGTAACAGGTTCAACCCTAGCAGCCATATTGAGAACATCCGGAAAAAAATAGAAGGAAAACAAAATTACCTGGCTAATTTAGAAAAAGCTACTTGGGGGCTAAAATTTGAAAGCACAAAAATATTATATAAAGTTGTAAACCTTTCAATACTGTGTTATGCAGCACCATCTTGGGCTACAAAATTAAATAAAACCCAAGTCAATAAATTATTAACCATACAAAGAGGTGCACTAAAATGGCTATGTAAAGGGTATCGAACTAAGTCGACAGACGCACTTCAAGTTATAACAGGGCAGATACCAAATGACTTAGAACTCATTAAAAGAATAGAGATTCACAAATTAAGGAAAACAACATGCAATAATTATAGTGAAAAAATTAAAGAATTAGAAAATGAAATTATAACAAAATGGCAAGCAAGATGGAGTGCAAGCATAAAAGGGCGAACTTCTTATAAATTCTTGCCATTAAATCAAGAATCAAAAACGGGAATTTTATTCTACCAAATTATATTACTACCCAGTTTTTAACAGGGCATGGAGAATTTAATAAATATTTATATAATTAAAAGTTAAAAAACACTAATTTATGCCAATGTGGAGAAATAGAAAGTGCTGAACATATTGTGACGAAATGCAAAATCTATAACCATAAAAGAATAATACTAGAAATTGAAATGAATTGATGAAATAGATGATGAAAGTAAATTCGTAGAACTGACAAAGGACAAACACAATTATAAAGAGTTTATAAAGTATGTCTATGAAAAAAAAACTAAACACAGTTCACAAAATCAAAATGAAAATCATCGATAATAAAAAATTCCCACAAGGGCTTTTAATTTTATGTATGTAAATAAAGAACTTCAATGTACAAATTTAATTACTCTTGTCTTGTTTTTTATGTTATATATGTACATAGTTAAATTATACATTTGAGAAGTTATATTTAAAGTTATAAATGTATATAGTTAGCATGTTTTAGTAAATTAAGTTATTTATTTTGTTTTCATTATTCTCATGTTTATATGAGTATAAAATTGAATTATTTATATGAAATATCTAGTCTAAGTTATAATGAATATATTTAAATAATTTATATGAAATGTTTGTTTAGATTTATAAACGTATATAGTCCAACGGGTTTATTTAAGCTAGTAAGATCTATTTAACAATCTTTTTATTTAAGTGTTTCATTGTGCTCATGTTTTTATTACTAGTCAAAATAGGCTATTTATATTGTTTAAAAATGTTCTAACCGCCAAAAAATCTCTTTAAAAATTGTTATAAAACCTCTCAGGGAAAAAAAATCCCTGTAAAACCAAATCGCCGCCCAGCGGTCCATCCCGGAAAAGTTATAATATAATTATAATTATAACGGCTAAAGATCTGTGTAAGGGGACCTGTTGTGGTTGAAAAACAAATTATTAATTTAAAAATTTATTAAAACAAATAATGTGATAAATAAAAAAATAACATAAAAGCAAACGCTGTAAGAGGTTTACACCAAACACAGCAAAAACACAAATAACAAAATCACAAAGGTTGGTTATATGAATATGAAGTCAGTGAAGTTGCACCTTTGCAACGAGCTATACCTCAACGAGCTTGGAAGAGACCTGATTGCAGTTCTTTTAACATCATAGTAATAATCATTATGATCTAATAATAATGGCCATAACTTTCATGCAGCATGAATCTGTTAAAGGATGAACAACAAGATTTCTCTGTTTCGAAACAGACGTTTATAGTTAGTTACATGAATATGTAGTCAGTGAAGACTTCTACAATGAGTTATATATACCTCAACGAGCGTGGAAGAGACCTGCTCGCAGTTCTTGCAGAATCAAAGTACAACCATTGATCTATTTGTACGATGAGAATTATTAAAAAGTCTAGACAATTTTCGGTCATTCTTCGTCTAAATCTGTACTTTCTGCTTACGGCCATCTTGGGATATGTCTGACGTCCTCCGTCAACGAGTTTGTTCACCACCGTGGCAGCATCTGCCGATTTCTAAAAAAATTATTTTTTTAACAAGACTCTCCCAGTTTTTTTTTTAATTTGAATGATAATGGCCATACCTTTTATGGAGCATGAATCTTAGAAATTTTGAGTAGAAGATTATTCAGAAATCGTGAGATGCGGTCTGGTGTGATGTAGGTTCCAGAAAAACATTTTCTTTATCGTGCTAACGTTTCGATCTTTAGTTAGATCCTCTTCAGGGCTCAAAGTGTTTGTTTTCTACGTAAATATGTGCGTAAGTTTGTGTAGAAGGATGAACACCCAACGGTACACGCCATAGCTTGGAAGAGACCTGCTAGCACTTCTCGTAGTATCGTAACGTAACAACCATTCTTTGGTACATCTAATATACTATTTTTTAAATCTGTAGGATTGACATTTATTATAAAAAAATACGTGTTTAATATTTTTTAGTCATGTTTCAAATCCATTACAGTTCGTGGTCCGATTGTCTAATTAACCTTTTTTCAATTAATTAATATTTATGTTACTTATGTTACTTGTTTCAAATGTTTACCTTTCTTCGTAGAAAAATTATACAGGGTACCTCAGGCCCAGATGAAAAACTTCAGGTTTTCAAATATGACCCTATACAACCTGACAGACCATTTGAAAGGATATTGTACGCTGAAAACAATGGTGGAATTGGACTTGAAATTGGACAAAAATGGCAAAGTTACGGTCAAAAGTTCAAGAAAGAAATCGGTCATTTGGTTTGCTATTTATAAATCACATTTCATGTTAGAACTGTCTGCCTTGCGTAAAGATGTCAAGGTTTGCTCATTTTGACCACTCTTCACCGGTGCTCGGAGCGATAGTCAGGGGAGATGAATTGACAAGTATTTTCTATCCTTTGCCCGCAGTTCTTCAACTGAGATTGCTGGGTTATGATTGGCGTAGACACTTTTCTTTAAATGGTCCCATAGAAAATAGTCAAGTGTAGTTAAATCGGGTGACCGAGTCGGCCAACAGATCGTTCCATGAGGACATATCCACCAATCCCGGACGTCTCACCTGCAAAGAATTGGGGCATCCATCAAGCTGGAAAATTATTCTTAGTCGTTGATGCAGAGTAACATCATCTAATAGTGTTTTAAATTATTGTTGTTTTAAATTATTTTCATAGAAAATTAATTTCTTACCGATAAGTCCACACCAAACGTTGATACTGTGAACCACCTGATGATGACAAGAGTACGAAATTCTCGGATTTTCCTCTGCTTACGTTCGAAAATTCCAACGGTTTAGTATGCCATTAGACGTGAATTCGAATTCATCAGTCCGTATGGAAGACCGTTTTTTTCAGCCTTCCAAATCGATTTGTGCAAGGAATGTTAGACGCCTGTCATAATCAGAGACCGTAGTCCCTAGACAAGAAGCTTAAAATTGTAAGTCCGGAGTACATATCTACTTTCATTTTTTGAAAAACCTAAAACCCTTCCAATATTTCGGCTAGAGGAATTAGGATTTTCGCGAACATGCAGTAAAATATTCACCTCCTCGTCGAAATTACGGTGCCGTTTTCTTTTTGCCATAACTTGTCATTTTTTGTCCAATTTAAAATCCTATTCCGCCATTGTTTTCAGCGTAAAAAAATCCTTTAAAATGATGTGTCAGGATGTATAGGGTTTTATTTGAAATTTTGAAGTTGAACTGTGCCTAAGGTACCCTGGATAATTTTTCTCCAAAAAAGGAAAAAGTTTGAAACTAGACTAAAAATTATTAAACACGTATTTTTAGCGTCA